ATTTTAAAAGGATGAGTGTGTAGGAAATTGATTTATATTATATATATATATGCATATATACATGTACATATATATAGGAGATTGATTTACATTATTTTTATATATATTATTCTTGTATCTATAATCTTACATATGTCCTTATATATGCATTCTTATATATATTCTTATATATACATTATGTATCTTCATATACATTCTTATATATATGTATATATATATTCTTGTATGTGCGTATGTACATATGTACAAGTAATATAAATCAATTTCCTGTATATACATATGTATACATATGGTTTATATATATGCATAAATAAACTGGATGTAAGTGTAGGAAAATTAATATTATTCATATATAAAAACAGTCCCGGAAAATATTGAAATAAAGACGAAAAATTTAAGCAGGAATATTTCAGTACATTAAGTCGTATGCATTCCTGTTCAATACCTGGACTTCGTTATTGAGATGCTTTATCGAATAAAAATAAAGAAAAATGCGGTGTGTTAAATCGAAAGGTGGACCGCACCAATTTTAGGATAGATGATTTTTCACAAATACCAACTGGAAAGCTTGTATGTGTGGAAAAAATGGGTCTTAAAGTGCTAAAAATAGCGCCGAAGTGCAGTATGAAGCAAAAGAAGGGTAATTCTCTGGGCGAGAAACGCCAAATTTTTTCATTGGAAGCTTGCTGCTATCCTTGGTAGAACTGATTTTCGTGGCTTTCGAGGCGACTTTTTTCGCACATGCTTTTGCCATCGCAATTTATTGTGGCGTGCTTTTCATGCAGTTTCATCGGTGGTGGTGGTTCGTTGACTGGACTTCTGGACTGTGTTATTATAACGCATTTTCACCTGGATCATTGCGGGGCGTTACCTCATATGAGCGAAGTTGTCGGCTACGATGGGCCCATCTATATGACATATCCAACAAAAGCTATTGCACCTGTACTTCTGGTATTTTTATGCATTTTTTCTTTTGGAATTTGTGCGGATTCATAAACGCATATTAAGATGTGTGTGTGTGTGTGTGTGTGTGTGTGTGTGTGTGTGTGTGTGTGTGTGTGTGTGTGTGTGTGTGAGTGTACATGCACTTGTTTGTCGACGACACATTCTCAGTTTCGTTAACAAAAGAGCTCGGGAACCGAAGTCTTGGAATCTTAGTCCTTATTATCGCTGTTACGGCTGAGAAGCTTAGTATTAGCCTAATTTCGCTGATTCTCGAGCCATAATTTTTGCTCAGTGTGAGCCAAATTTTCACATATATCCCAAATTTGCATTTGGAACGAATATGCAAGTTTGATCCTCACATGCCATATTGCTGTAGTAGTTGTGAACAGTATTGTGCAGAAGACGACCGTGGCGGTTCTTTTGTGTGTTTTGATATTGTTTTTTTGAATAATTAGCTCAAGAAAAAACTAATATCTTAAATTATCCCTTTTATCCGATCGAAATCCTAACTTTCTCAAGAGATTTTTCGTTACCACTAGGCATTCAGGTGGTTCACCGCGCAGAAAATTATTACGAGCACCCCAGAAGGTAGTAAAGTTTGATTGTTCGGCAGGTTACAAGTTTTACTAATCCCTAGCAAACATCGTGTGCAGTAATTTGGTGAAGAATAATTATACAGAAATCCAGTGAAGAATAATTAAAGACTGTGGCCCCAGGTGTTCCTCTTATATGTTCTGGAGTCAAAACAGGAACACCGTTTTGCACAATATTACGTAATTTTTAATTCAAAAAAAATTTTTTCTCATTTTTTCTGTAGTTTCCACTCGGAATTTCCTTAAATACATTGATTGCTTTGAAGGATCGTAGCGGTTGGGGGCAACTTCACATCGGCTTCTCTCGTGTAATGTTAAAAAGGGTATGCTGGTGGTTACTGAGGTTACTTCTCAGCGAAATTGGGAGCTCTCACCGATGTATTGCTAATAGAAAAGTATGTTGGATGGGCTGCTTTTTGGTAAAGTTTTTTCCTGTAAAAATCTTTTGCCTGTTACAGTGATTCGCCTGTATTTTCAGGAAGATTTTCGTAAGGTACAGACGGAATACAAAGGCGATACGAACTTTTTCACTTCGCAAATGATAAAAAATTGTATGAAAAAGGTAAGATTTTGCAAGGGAATTTCCTTTTTTTCTTGTTTGCTATAATTTTGATATTTTGGAATTTCCAAAACCGTACACTTAAATTTAGTTCCAATTGCTCATTTAGCTATTTTTTCGAAATTTTGTTCATTCACAATTTTTATCTTCTGTTTTTGTCCGGAATTTTAGTTCTTTTCGCCTCTGAAATTTGAAATTAATTTAAACTCAATTGATGTTGATCGATGTGACTGCCCATATTTTTGGCTGAGGATTGTCAAATTTTTTTTGTATTTAGGAACTTAATAACTCTGCCATGCTAAGATAGGCGTTTTTTTTTCATTTTTATGCGTTTTTTGCAGCTATGCAATGCAAAAACGCATACTGACGAGGGGTTGTCTGTATGTCCATGTGTCTGTGTGTGTGTCTGTCATGCACTTTCGTCTCAAGACCTATAAAAGCTGCAGGGCTGAAATTTCGGGAACTTAATCTACATGCACGTGCCGACCCCATCTCCAAAATGGGCGCCATCATCCGTGTGGTACCTGCGTATGGGCCCCCAAAGTTTTTTTAGGGTGAGTTCATAACTCGGGGATCTGTGAAGCTAGAACGCTGAAATCTTAGGGGGATGTTCCCTGTCTAAGTAGGTGATAACTCAGGAGCCAGGAAAGCTAGAAAGCTGAAATTTCAAGGGGCTGTTTCCTGCCAGTTCTGGCGGCCAGTCTCAATTTTTTCAGCTAGAAGCATTTGCCGAAAAAACCGATGCCGGTAGTGACAAAAACTGCGGGAAACTATGCAAAAAACGCATCTTCGCACGGGC